AAATAACGTACAGGCATTATTTGATGACGAGGAACCCACTTTGAGACTAATAATGGCTGGAGACGGCTTAAATGGGTAATGAAGAAAAACTTTAATATAAGTTTAACATGACAGGAAATGTACAACGTTTCGACAAGGTTTTGTCATCATCATAAAATTGAATGAAATCATAATATTTTTTTACATCGATAACTGGTACAAGTTTTAAAAAAACAACTTGTAATATTACGTGAGTTTCTACTAACGTAACGTCGAACCTGATGATGACAAAACCTTGTCGAAACGTTGTACATTTGCTGTCATGTTAAACTTATATTAAAGTTTTTCTTCATTACCCATTTAAGCCGTCTCCAGCCATTATTAGTCTCAAAGTGGGTTCCTCGTCATCAAATAAGTAAAAATACGTCAGGCTCTGAAACAAAGTTCTAAAGCTCAAATTCATTGACTTTATTGTTTAACAAAACTAAGGTGATTATATATTATGGTACTGCCGTTTCAATTACAAGTAAATGTAACAGCGAACAACAAAACAATAATATTTATACTTATTTTGTGAACTTTTGTTTAAAAATAAACTTGTCGTCTGCTAGAATTATTTTCTTACGCGCGGCTTTATACTGTTGTGAAAATGTCTTACGATTTTTATATGAGTATTCATTATCTGTATATAGTAACAGTTTGTGACATACATTAAAATTTTAATATTATCTGTTAATAAAATAAGTTTGTGTGTGTGTGATGTCATCTTTTAATAATGGTTGTCTCGGAACAATTTGATGCAGGATTTTTCGGCTACTGTTATAGAAAAAATACCCACTACACCTTCATGTGTCCAGCCATACAGGGTGATTCAAAATTATCCTTACTATTTTAAAATTTAATTATCAAATAAATAAAGAAACACAACTATGCAGTTTTTAACATCTTGTAGCTCAACTCAAACACTTTTGTTTTTACATGTCAGTGGACTTGTACGTGTGCACTATTAGTGGCTCTCAGCACGTCTAATCGATATTATATTTCAGTCCACGTTCGCTGCAACACAGTGGCGATGGCGTCTGTTATCTCCGTGTTGTTTGCTGAAGGTGTGCAATTCACGATATCCTTAATATACCCTTCTTTCCTGTAATGACGCTGCACCACAGTCAGTGACTTGGTATCTGCAAGCCAAACGATGCATTGAAGTAACACTACTCACTAGAGTGAAACAAAATAACATGACAACAACAAAATCTATTTCGTTTGGCTACACGATGTGTTAAAAACTATATGGTTGTATTTCCTTAGTTATCTAATTATTAAATTTCGAAATAGAAAAGATAATTTTGGACCACCCTGTATGTATATGTGTGTGTGTCATCAACTTTGACAACTTAGATCTGCAACAAGAGATCTATTACAAAAGGGTGGAAACAACATGGAGATGCCTAGGTACAAACTATAATCAAGACTGATCAACGTAATAGGGAAGTTTCTTGATGGTTGGAGGGCATTTTTATATTTTATTGGCCACTGTTCGCCCACTTTAAGAATAGCAGCTCTATCACTCGCCTGCTTGGTAAGGTAGACAGGACTAGGAACTAATGATCTGAACAGTGAGTGGTTGACATATTTACTACAAACAATAATAAATTAAAAACAGTACCCAGAGAGGTGCCCACTGGAGCAGTGGAGATCAAACACTTAGCTGAGGACCTCTGTATGTCTCATAACATGGGAAGCTACTGCAACATCACTGAAGCACTTACTGTCTTCAGAAGTTCTCTGAATTTTAAGACACCATACACTTTCAAAAGACTAATCTCTCAGACACCGAGGAGTCCATTCTCGCTGGCTTTGACTTCAGACCACTTACTGATCTAGAGACTCAGATGACCATTGTAGTCTGACAACTCCAAGATACAAACCATCCGGGTACCTCCTCAAAGTTGCCCACACAAATCTGATCCACCAATGCATACATGACGGGCAACATGTATGTCATGACGGGCAACACTGTAGGTTTTGTCTGATTTGTCAGAAAATAAATCTATGAATCTAGCAGAAGGAGACTTAAATGCCAGACCTATCCCCCTACTTTAGATAATAAATGCCAGAACTATCCCCCTACTTGAGATAATAAATGTCAGACCTATCCCCCTACTTGAGATAATAAATGCCAGAACTATCCCCCTACTTGAGATAATAAATGCCAGACCTATCCCTCTACTTGAGATAATAAATGCCAGACCTATCCCCCTACTTGAGATAATAAATGCCAGAACTATCCTCCTATTTGAGATAATAGTAAAAATACTAATGATGAAGGTTTACAATCTGATGTCCACAAGATAGGCACCAATCGTATACTACCACTAAACTCATGCAAACCAATAAAAATCACTGAGCGATATGTTGACAGAAATCGTTGTGTAGTCCTCGCCTTTCAAACCTATCCTTGGGTGTAATTTTAACTGGCATATGCAGAACACAATGTCTGCAGTGGTCACCTCATGTGCGAGTTGCATTGGAAGAAGAGTGGCAAAAACAGTCTAGAAATCTAGACACGAGTGTCAAGCTTTCTGGCAGTATTAATAGCCTCAAGCACTTCTCTTCCACTGAGAAAAGTCAAATCAACAATTTCTCCAAAAGGAACTCCTCCCTCTTAATGAAATGCTGATACTAATAATGCTTATAAAGCACAAAATGAAACCAGGCTGACTGGGTTCATGTGATTAAGGCACAAACTAGCTGAAATAAAGGGGTAAAAGACTGCATGGAATAGAACCCGTTCTTTCTACAGGTGATCAGGTTTCAAAAACATGACATGAATTGTGCATTAATGACAATCTTACAAACACTTTGTTTTGACATTTACATAAGCTCATGTCTGACTCAGGAACAAAAATGTTTTATGATGTTGTCATTAATGACAACAATGGTACCCCACTTCATTGAGATTATGATGACTGAAGACAGTGGTGAGGACTTCATGCTCAGATACATTAACTAATGTGACCATGTTGACATGCAGAAGAGGCTCAAGCTACAATTACATACAAATATGGAAACCATCTTTAGCTTAAATGAACACAGAGCAAGAAATACACTTAAGCATGAACTCCAGGTCTGGGTTGTCTAAGAATCTCTACTTTTAAGAACCTTACAGAAGCCACCAGTTAGGATTTGAGTATCAACATTATAAGTAACATCCTTGAAATATGGACTGATCCTTACCAAAACCCTTGAACTATCATTCTTGTCTTAAAGGTCATTGAATTGTTGTCCTACAAGACATAATTGGCAAAATTCCAGAGAAGGCTGTAGCTAGTAGGTTTACCTATCATAGAGAATCACTACGTCCATCGTCATTAGGCAAATACCATAATGGACGAGAAACCTGGATCAGTTTTACTGGATTTACAGCTAATATACGGGAAGGCTTTGAAGCTGGTTAGATCACGTTTGCCGTATATTTAAATCTGGAAGATGCTTACAGTAGATTCCAACTGCTCATTATTGCTGATAAAATGCTCAGAATGGACATTAGTGTAAAAGGGGTTATAGCCACACTAACTGCAAGAAGATGCACCATGGAGAATGGAAGATGGCAGTCAGATTGGATCAACACTGGTTTGTCTCAAGGATTATCACTCTCGCCAGTCCTCCTCAACATCTACACCATGGACCTAGCATATCTCAACAGTCCAACCCAATATCATGTGCTATGCTTTGCTGATGCCATTCTGGTGTACAGCAGAAATTCTAGCAACGCTGAAATCGGAAGCAAGAAGCAACCATTCCTTAGCATGAGGGGCAACTGGTATAATGACAAAGGAATGGTAATCAATTCTGTTAAAGCCATGGCCGTGTTATGAACACTTAACAACAGACGTGCT